GTGTGCAGGACTGGAAAAAGAGAACAATGAACACCTCCTGACACCAGGCTGTTTGTCTGGTGAGTATCCCTCAGTGCAAATGTTGGTACTGTGGGGGTATTTTTTGTGTTTCTATAAAGTCCTAATGAGCTCCTTGGGTGAGAGTGAAACCCTTTGCTTTTTCACACTGTGCTCAAGACCCATAAACTTCTTGGGGTCAGGCCTAAAGAAAGGGTAATGGACCATGAGGTCCAGCTTAATAGACCCGATATTAACACAGCAGCAAGAATGTCACCAAATGCAAAGTTTAGGGCAGGCAATGAATGAAGTATTTGTTACACTTAAATAATATACAAAGATTATAACAGAGTAGCAGCACTACATCAATGTCATCACTGCAGGACTTTGAAAATACTCCATGTATGAAATAACTTTGCAATGCATCCTTCCATTACAACAGCCAGACTCTATTTACACACACTAAATGATACATTATATCAGGACAACCTAAATGTCATATCTGACCAGTAACAACTCTCACTATTATTTGAAAAATCTCGTATTATAGAAAACTTCTGCAGTGTACCAGATCTAAGTAATACAAAATTTGCATATGAGAAACAAACCATTCTTTGGGAGAGAGACTCTAGTATTAATGGGTCTGTTCATGAGAACATTTTTTGCTGAATTATAGAAAATAGAAGAATAAGTTATGCTCACTTGGGCTTAATCCTGCAAGTTCTTTCTTGTGTAAGATTCCCATTGATCTGTGAGCTTGTGCAACAACATGTGCTAAGCTGTGAACCAATGTGGGATCTGAGGAATTTTGATTCAGATTTAACAAATGTTATAATATGAGCTGATATAATAGTGCTCTCTAATGAGATAAAAGTGGCAGTGTGCATAAAAAGGACTTATGCAGACATGGAGAGCAACATCACAGGTCACCAGCAGAACTACTGCGGCAGACAAATCTTTCCTCAGTCTTTTTCTCCAGTGTTGGTGACAAGGAAGCTGCTTACCATTTCACTCAAAATCATACTATGTTTAATTTCATTTTTATTTTTAAACAAATGAAGATGCCTTTATACTTTTTCCCAATTTGGCTTGTTACCAACACTTAAAAAAAGGTAGCAAAAAGATTAATCTCTGGTGAGTTACTAGTTGTAAATATGACAATACTTCTTCTTTTAATAGAAACTCTTTTTTATTTTCTTTCTCTTTTTTGTGGCATGGCTGAGTCTCACAGCCCTGTTTTCACATTTTAATAATTGATGGGGATTGTTAAACACTCTTCACGATTCATTTTAATTAAGAATGAAAGTTTAAAACTACTCAGTGGTAGATGGATGAAGCTCCTTGAAGTAAGACCCTGCCCAAGTGTAAGGAAGATGTCTGGTACACAAAAGTAAAATCAGGTCAATCTAATATTTTAAAAAGTTAATATGGTTTACAATATTAAATGTTATTGTGATGTTAGAAAGAAAAAGAAATGCCACAAATGTGGCTATAGGACTCGATCTGATCTGAGTTTAACCTTGGTAAATTTGGAGCAATTCCACTGCAGGCAACAGCATGGAAGCCTTTTTTCCCCCCAGTATATATGGAGTAAAAAAAATAAAGGATCCCTGTGTGATTTAAAGCCTAAATTTCATTGACACTCAGTAGAACACAGCATAGAATTTTCTAAGGTTAGGAATAAGTCCCAGTTTGCTTTCAAAGCAAAAGGTATTTTGGACTTAGGAGCCTAACCTCCATTGATTTTCAATGAGGCTAAGTGCCTATGTGACATTTGAAATAGGATCTAAGCATTTTGGAAAATGGTAAACTACATGTCAGCTCTGGCCAAGATAGTAGGCATTAGTTAAGAATTAAACTCACAGCTGAAAAATCAAACCAGTTTATCTATATATTAGATTTGTTTAAAATAGTTATTAGTATCATAAGAATGTATTTAGTATTTAGACTGTATGAAATGCTTGTGTAAAAGCTGTTCACCACTCTGGTACTTCGAGTGCAGAAGGTGGGGGCCCGCAAGAGAGACTAAAAAAATCTTGCCCCTAAAGGTTTGTGTTAAAATCCCAAAATCACAGATTTCCTGGCCTTGGCTTGGTATTGCTGCCACCACTCAAATGCAAAAACTACTTTGAGAACTCAGTAAGGCTCATTTGGGAATTCCTTCCTGTAGGGTACCCTCAAGCTCTTTAATGCTCCCTCTGAGAGAGTTTGAAAAACTGTGATTTCTCTTCATAGCTGGCTTTGTGATCTTAGACACGTGCACACAGAACCTCCTGCCTTCTAGTATACAGGAATCAGATCATGGTCTTAAAAGGTTAATTTTATTAACACCAACTTCAAAAAGAAAACATACTTGTGAAAGATGAATTGGTTGCTAGGCATTACAGAGCAAATTTTAAAAAAGAAAGATTAAAACAGAGAATTACTTCCCTGGGATTCAGTTTGGAAAGTTAGGCTAAGTCTACACAGCAGCATTATTTTGGAATGACTGACATTGTTCCAAAATAACAAAAAGCATGTCTAGTCTGCAAGCCGTTATTTCAAAATAATGGCCAACTGGAGGACTTCTTACTCCAACTCCTGTAACCCTCATTTCACGAGGAGTAAGGGAAGTCAAAGGAATATTGTTTTTCCTTTGACTTCCTGCTCTGCAGATGGTGCCAAAAGCCGAATTAAGATATTTCAATTTAAGCTACGCAATTGACGTAGCTTAAATTGCATAGATTAATTTGACTTTTGCCCTACTGTGTAGACATGCCCTTACAGTATAAGGGTATGTCTACACTAGCCCCCTAGTTCGAACTAGGGAGGCTAATGTAGGCATTCAAAGTTGAAAATGCAAAATATCCCGGGCTTTATTTGCATCTTCCCGTCCGGTCACCATTTTTAAATGCCACTAGTCTGGACTAACTGCCCGCGGCTACTCGTGGCAGGGAGCCGGTAGTTTGAATTAAAGCCCCTTATTCGAACTACCGGTAAACCTCCTTGAAGGAGGAATAACATGTAGTTCGAATTAGGGCTTTAAATGAATTCTGATTATTTGGGGATTTTTTTAATGACACCAGAAAATCTTTCATAAGCAAATATCTAAGCCTTTCCACCAGGAAGATATGCAGCATGGATCTTCTGTTCCTGATGTACAACTGAACATACCATATTTTCCCATCTGGTCCCTTCTGTACAAAGGGGTCTTTGATGTCTACAATCTGAATGATGCTCCTGCATGGTGTTCTGGGAATGCCATTCCCTTCATACACCAGCAATAGAGAAGATTGCCCCAGGAGCGTTATTCTCCTCCTCCCATCCCTTTTGCTAGCATGACATATGAAACAGTTTTATACTATCTATGGGATTAGAGAAGCAGGGAGGAATTTCATCCAGATCAAGTGGGAACCAGTAAGAGGAAGGAACTGAAGCTCCATTAAAGTCAGTAGAACAGCAGAAATGTGCCAATGCTGGAAGCCCAACTCTGGTGCGTAGATGGCAGGAAAAGGCCTGAGTACCTCACTATATGCCTGTCTCTCTGCTGGGACCTTCTTGAAGAGATAAATTTCTGGATCCTGTGTTCACCTGAGCAAGTGACACATTTGCAACACAATATTGCAATATGGCAGCAAGGCTGCCAAACCTAAATTCTCAATATTTCAGGTTCATTTCTGCAGGTGGGGGTTTCCCCTTCCTCTGAATGATCATGCGTTGGACACTGAAATCAAGAAGGCTGCATAAGATTAACTGAAGACAGAATCAGGCCCAGTAGTTGGGCATCATGTATATTAATCCTTTACAGGGGACTAGACAGTAAGTCATACCCAGATATTCCCATTTCAGGGTGATGAGTTAAACTTTGGTGTTATTCATACAAAACATTTACACTTTTATGTACGTGATCAAAATTACTTCTTGTAATTTACATCATTATCATAATGGTAATAAATGCAGGATGCCAGTTTCCTTAAAAATTTGACTAAAATACATATCTTAAAGGAGAATGGAAATATGGCCCAGGACATTTAATTAAGTTGGCCAAAATACTGTGAATTTGATTCCAAAAACTAGAGAATCCTGGTTTTTTGAAAATAAATGCTGCCACATCTTTATCAGTTGCAGAGAATTACTGGTAATCCCTCACTCTTTGCCTCAACTGTTGGTTCAGATTGTAAATTGAGACACTGCTGCCACCTGGAGGCCTCTCTGCATGACATGTTCTGTGTTTCACTGCATTGGTTTGACTTCCGTTCCATAAACAATCTTAGTGCCTTTCACAGAGCTACTGGGGATATAAATAGCAATAGGAAAGAACTAATGAGCTACCTTAGAGCTATGATTAAAAGTTACAGTAGTCAGGTGGCTGTTAATGCCTACATTAGGCATGTGCAGAGGAACCAGATAGGTTACGGGAAGCAGGAAGTGCCCATGCAATTATATATTTCTGCTTATATGATTATGACAATTAATTGTTAATTTCATCAATAAACACATTGTATTTACATTGGGACACTGTTCAGAATAGTAACACCTAGTCAGCTATTTATGTCTATATATGGGGCTAAATCGGGGTGGGCAATAATTTTTGATAGGGAGTTGCTCCAAGGATTTGAAAAGTGATCAATGGCTGCACTCTTCCATTATATTAATGGAGGAAGTGTAGGGTCTGAGATGGAGGTTGGGTGCAAATGGGAGGTTGGGGTGTAGGAAGAGGTATAGAGTCTGGGAGGGTTTCTGGGTGAAGGAGACAGTTATGATCTGGGGAAGGTGTGCAGGAGAGGATGCGGGTGTTTAGGCTGTGACCCACTAGACCCCATAAATCCCCTAAACCTCTTTGGGCAGGAGGGGGCTTTGACCTGGGGCAGGGGATTTGGATGCAGGGTCTGGAGGGGGTATAAGTACAGAAGGGGGCAGAGGGTTTGGATTATGTAGGGTAGGGGTGTAGAAGTGGGAAGGCAGAGGGTTGGGGGGAGGAAAGGGATGGGGTGCCAGAGGTAGGCTCTGGCAGGAAGACTTACCTAGATGACTCTCAGCCAGTAGTCCAGCATGTTTCTCAGGCAGTTTCTCCCTGCCTGCCCTGCCCTTGCACTGTCTGCAGGGGCCATGCATGTCTGTGAATAGCTACAAGCCTGAATGGAGGGGGGAAGGACACTTTGCACACTACCCACACTTCAAACAGGCAGCTGCCATTGGCCAGAA